GAACTGAGAGATCTACCTGTCTCTGGTTCCCAAGTGCTGGGATTAAAAGGCATGCACCACCACCACCCAGCTGTTGGCATGCTTTTCAGCTTCTTCCAAGATCTACTGATTTATTCAAAATATCATTTTTTCCCAATATGGATCCTATATAAAGGTGGCCTTAAGACCAGAGGCCTGAGCCTTTCCCTTTGCCAGCCTGCCTGTGTGTTTGTTGGCAGGCCTCCATTCATACCACCATGTGTTCCATGGTCCAACCACCCATGTGGTTCTCATGTGTGTTGGCCCTGTGCAGGCATGCATGGACGCCTGCCACTGGCTGCCTGCTTAGCAGCCTTTGTCTTTAAGTGACTAAAGTGTCCTATTTTCCTATGCCTCCTCTCAACTTCTTCAACCTCCCAGTGTCCCATAACCCTGCTGCTTTCCCAGCATGGGGGCCTGGATCTCACAACATGCCTGAGGATAGCAACAGGAGGCTCAGAAGCACTGCTCTGAGTATCAAATTCCTCTAGGTTTTTCCTCTACCCTTTCCCTGGATGCTGTTTGAAATATTAATTGTTCTCTCTCTCTCTCTCTCTCTCTCTCTCTCTCTCTCTCTCTCTCTCTCTCTCTCTCTCTCTCTGTCTCCCTATTGTAGTTAAATTTGGAAATGTGAGAGAGATACCCATGCCTGCTATGAGAATCTCTCAAGTAATTCTTTCACCTTGTGGAATTTCTCCTAAGATTCTCTAATAGATACAAATTAGGGAAAGTTACCCCTAAAGTATTTGCTCTTAAGTTTCAGAGAATCAACTTGCTTGAATGAAAAGCATCACTTTTTTATTGATGATGATGATGTTTTCTGTTTGTTTTCAAATCATCCTCCACGTTATGGTAGTGCTGGGTTAGCATTCTCCACTCTTATCCTGAAAGGGAAAAATTAATAAAAGTCTAAAACTTGGACTCCAAAGCCCAAATACAAAAATTCTCAGGCTTCTCTGAGTTCCCAAAAGGCAGCCCAATAGATAAATTTAAACAAAGGTCCACATGACTCAAGGGCTTAGACCAGATATGACACCCTTGAGCTGTGTTGACATTCCTCTAGTCCAAAGAGGATGAGATAGTCTCCAGCCCAGGACATAATTAACAAACACATCTCCTCTGCAGCACCCTGCTTATTTGCGCCTTGCCTGAAGCTTACAATCATTGTACTTTCCTGGGTAACCACTGTCGGGAGCGATTTCCAGGGGTTCCAGGAACCGGGAGCTCCTGTCTGCATTGAATATCGGATGCTAACTGATTTGCTATTGAATGGCATGGCCTCAGTGAGGAATGTCTCCTAGTTTGCATCTCTGTGGGCCTAAGCATCTGGATAGGCCTGCACCTGGGCGGAGGTGGAAGGTGTATAAGTAACAAGTGAGGACAGAAGGTGAGGGGCCAGCTAGCAGAGAGGAGAACAAGCACAGAAACGGTTTCCTCGTGGTCATGGAAGCACGGTTAAGAAACAGCCGAAAAGATGGTAAATAAAGAAAAGACTCTAGTTTTACAACATGGAACTGAGAGCTCTCTAAAGATGACAAGACGCCTGTGTTTGGTCTTTATCGCCGCTGGGTTACTAGGAGTTTCCAGGTCCACACACCCCCACTCAGGCAGAACCTCATGGCTGTCATGGCTTGGAGCTGAGACATGCCAGGTCACGACAAACCACGGAAGTTTTGTAATCTTGGGGCTTCCAGCCTACAATTTTCCCTTATAAAAACAGCCCTCAGTCAAAAGTGGGCACTCCATTTGTTCCGAAACGAATGAATGGGGTCCTTGCTGCAACTCATATCCTCGAGTCAATAAAGAAACCTTTGTCCTTGCATTCGGTGAGTCGTCTCCTTGTTGGCAGGTTCTTTGGGGGTTCCGTGATCTGGGCACAACAATACAGTCCAGAGTCACCTGCCTAGGGAATGGGGTCACCCACAGTATGCTCACCTCAGCTACCATAATCTAGAAAACTGCCCACACAGAGGGAGATGCCCAGAGACCCAACTATCAGATAATTCTAACTCCTGCCAAATTGACAACAGGCATCACTGTTCCCTTCTCTCACATCATGCCACTTCTACTTGCATTATGAGTGTGCGTGGGGTGTTGTATACCCTCACTCCCACGCACGCACACGCCCGTGCTCACAGATGGTGTCACACATGATCGTGGGTGAGTGTGTATGCACATCTTCTGTTCTCTATACGGGTGGAAAGCATGCAAGGTCGTTGCTATTATGTAGAGGATTGCATTCCTCGTCCTCCTCATCCAGTTATCACCAGTGGGCCCTGTGACTCTTTCTTCTGCAGTACTACCTCATGCTGTCTTACATTTCCACTGGTGCCACCCTACACCAGACACTCATCGTTCCTTGCCAGGGCCACTGGACCTTTATCAGAGGCCACTCTTCCCTAAACCATCTCTTGAGGGTCTGCAATGTTGACTTCCTAAATAAAGTGTATGCCTTCTCTCTCTCCCAAACGGGCCAGCAGCTGCCCCTTTGTTTAAATATCCAGACACCCACCCCATTTCTCCAGCCTTGTGAAAGTTTCCTTTGCTACATTCATTTCCTCTCACCCTCGAGATTCACAGGTCTCTCTGAAGGACCTGATCAGGTGTCCATGCTTTCTTATGCTTGTCCTCTCCTGGACAACCCCAATACCACTTTCTTTTCCTAATGAAATACTTTCTTAGGGGGAGATATTCTTCTGACAACTCGGTAGATATCAAGCTCTGTTTTCACCTAAGAAGACTGTGAAATCTTCCTGTTGCTTTCTTTTTTCATATTTCAATTTATTTATTTTAATTAGAAAAAAGATTATGTTACATGTTAATCCCAGGTCCCTTTCCCTCCCCTCCTCCCCTGTCCCCCAACTAATACCCTACCTATCCCATACCCTTTCTGCTCCCCAGGGAGGGTGACGTCTTCCATAAGGGGTCTTCAGAGTCGGCCATATCCCTTGGGATTCGGCCTAGGCTCACCCCCGTGTGTCTAGGCTCAGGGAGTATCCCTCCCTGTGGGATGGGCTCCCAGAGTCCATTCCTATGCTAGCGATGAGTACTGATCCACTACAAGGGGTCCCATAGATTTCCAAGGCCTCCTCACTGACGCCCACGTTCAGGGGGTCTGGATCAGTCCAGTGCTGGTTTCCCAGCTAACAGTCTGGGGACCAAGAGCTCGCCCTTGTTCAGGTCAGCTTCCTCTGTGGGTTTCAGCTCTTTGCTCATCCATCCTCCTTCTCTGCAACTGGATTTCATTTCAGTTCAAGGTTTAGCTGTGGGTGTCTGCTTCTACTTCTATCTGCTGCTGGATGAACGCTACACAATGTCATATGAATCAGTCATCAATCTCATTGTCAGGAGAGGGCATTTAAGGTAGCCTCTCCTCTGTTGCTTAGATTGTTAGTTGTCAACTTTGTAGCTCTCCAGACATTTCCCTAGTGCCTGATTTCTCTTTAAACCTATAATGTCTCCGTCTATTATTTCATCTCTTATCTTGCTCTCTTCTGTTGCTTTCTAAAGGTGGAGGCCACCCAAGTGCCAGTCAGGAGGTGAGGGAATAAGTAAACTGAGTTGTGCATATAGGGAAGTGTAGGGGGAAAGGGCCAGCCAAAGAAACACACTTTGGCCCTGCAACCAGAACCAAAGAAATGCACCCTGACCCCGAAACCAGTGCCGAAGGAAGACACTTTGTCCCTGGAATCAGGGCCAGTGAAAGAAATACACCCTGGCCCTAAAATTAGAGCCAAAAGGCTAAAAAGGAACAGCGAAAGAAACACACTTTGGCCGTGAAACCAGAGCCAAATCTGTCCCTGCCCCTGAGCAGAAAACCAGCCAATCCTTGAGCAAGAGATCTCATCAGTCTGAGCTGGGGGGCTGAAATCTGACCAGTCCTCACCGTGGAAATCTCCTCCCTGAGGAGGAAAAAAGCTCCGCCCCTGAGAATCCACATATAAACCCTGTGCCTGTCCAGTTTGCTGATGTCTTCTTCCACCCTGGCAGAGGCAACCACTCCCCTGGATTCTTCCCTCCCAATAAATCTCTTGAATGATGTTTGGGTGATGACCTTCCTTCGGCCGGAGCAGAGATGGAGCAGGGCTGTGACACTTTCGCTGGGGAAACCTTCCCCTAGTGAAGCAGAGTTGTTACACTGTGGGGGACTGAAACTGAACTGTAGCAACTTTGTTGGGGAAGCCCTTCCCTGCCTGCCAGAGCATAGCTGTTAACCCTGGAGCCCCCCACCCCCACCCCCACCCCGCCCTCCCCTGCCAGAGCAGAGCTGTTACACTGGGGAAGCCTTTCCCTGGAGCAGGGCTGTAAGCTGCCAAGCTTACTGTGACCTGTGGTACTCTGTGGCTCCCGGGTGCCAGAATACTTTCCCATCCGAGGTGTAACACTTAGTATTCTGTGGCTCCAAGGTGCCAGAATAGTCTGCCATCCAAGCTGTAACAGTTAGTATTCTGTGGCTGCCGGGTGCCAGAATAGTTTGCCATCGGGGCTGCAGCACTTACAGAAAGGATTGGAGGAGCACTGGTTCAAGCCGCTGAATAGGTGAGGCGAGACACAAGGAAGGTGTGTACCGTGCGCGAGGCATCATGAATCCAGGGTGCTAAGTGACACAGACAGACACGGGTACACTCAAGAGGCCACAGTTAGCCGAATGAGTCCGCCTACAGGAGCTGTTCAACTCAGACCTGGGCTGATGTGGCAGAAAGCAGAGTAATGGCTAAGGGGCCCCAGGGACAGGGAAAGCTGTAGCTGTGGATTTGCTCGGGATGCCTGGGACTCTGAGTTTGAGTCTCCAGAACTGAGAAGGGAAAACCTCTCGGGTGTACAGCGGTGCCTGGGGTGCTAGGGGCGGAGGGACAAGGAGCTCGTGCTGAATGGGTAGGCGCGGTGAAACTACCTCAGAAGCCGAGGGTTGTGAAAGGCTTGGTTGTCGATGGCACCACTGAGTTGCTCCTCCTCACGACTGTTGTCTTTCCTAGAAGGCCCCTTCTAGAAGCCAGGGTGTGAAGGTGACCACAGCTCCCCTAGCAGGGGCTGCTTGGGAGCCATCACACATCACACGTCATCAGTGAGAGCAGGAGCGGGAGCGCCGAAGAGTGGGCTGAGACCGTGAGGGGTCTCGAGGATACGGTTCGAGGCACAGAGGGGACAGTTGGGATCAGCTTGGGGGCCCAGAGCCCAGCAAGCCAGCAGAGAGCAGCCAGGTGGAGCCTAGCCAACCTGTGAGGTCGCACTCCGAGGCCAGCATGCCCAGGACCAGGCAGAGCAGCCTTCGAGGGTCGTCGTCTCGCCGCTCCCGCACCGACAGAGCCGAGCTGACCTTCTCTGTGAGCCTGGTGGAGCACCATCTTCGTGAGAGCGGCCATGCCCCGAGGCTGAGCGAAACAGTGCCCATCTTGCTGACCGCCATCCTGGAGTTCCTGACACGCAGGCTGCTGGAGCTGGCAAGCAATGAGGCCCAACGCCTAGGCGCCCAGAGGCTCATCACCCCTGAGATCCTAGACTTGACCGTCTACAACAACACCCTTCTGAGCCAACTGTTGCAATTCACCACCATCTCTCAGACGGCCCCAGCTGGACGTCGTCGTCGTCGACGTCAGACCTAGCTACTACCTGCTGCTGCCTCTGCTGCCGCCTGGCTCTGGGTCGCTGACTGGCCCAACCACCCCATCTATCTATCCACTGAGTCATCAGTCCATCCCGCCCAAACCTTCCCACAGGCCGCCCTGCATAGCTGGCCAACCTGGTCCCTTCCTTCTCTCCCAGTTGTGTTGTTATTAAACCTTGAGTTCAAGAAAACAACAGGTTTGCTTCCCTGGCTTTTCGTTGGGGAATGGGATGCAGGTGGGTGTGGGGTTCGGTGGGGGCAGAGGCTGAGCTCAGCCTAGTGGGAGGAACATAGGGGGTGGGACTGGTACTGGGGTGCGTGTGACCCACAGCTTGCTTTCCCAAGGTATTCCGTTGGTCGTGGGGTGTGGGTAGGTGTGGAATGGAGGAGTGTCTCATGTGGGCCTTTTTGGAGGAGCACATGGGGTGGGACGGGTACTGGGGTGCGGGTGACCCACAGGCAGCATTCCCAAGCTTTTGTTTTGTCCATGGGGTATGGGGTAGGTGTGGAATGGAGGAGTGTCTGAGGTGGCCCACGTTGGACAAACACAGGGGTTGGGACTGGTACTGGGTCCGGGTTACCCACAGGCTGCTTTCCCAAGCTGTTCCTTTAGTCATTGGGTGGGGGAAGTTTTGGAATGGAGGTCCTTCTGGGCGCACCCTAGTTGGAGGAACACAGGGGGTGGGACTGGGACTGGGGTGCGGGTGACCCACAGGCTGCTTTCCCAAGCTTTTGTTTTACCATGGGTTAGGGGTAGGTGTGGAACGGAGGAGTGTCGGAGGTGGGCTTAGTTGGAGGAACACAGGGGGTGGGACTGGTACTGGGGTGCGGGTGACCAAAAGGCTGCTTTCCCAAGCTTTTCCTTTGGCCATGGCGTGGGGGTAGGTGTGCAATGGAGGAGTTTCTGATTTGGGCCTAGTTGGAGGAACAAAAGGGGTGGGACTTGTACTGGGGTATGGGGGATCCACAGGCTGCTTTCCCAAACTTTTCGGTTTTCAATGGGTGGGGGTATGAGTGTAATGGAGGAGTGCCTGAGGTGGGCCTAACTGGAGGAACACATGGGGTGAGACTGGTACTGGGTTGCGGGTGACCCACAGGCTGCTTTCACAAGCATTTCCGTTGGCCGTGTGTTGGGGGTAAGTGTGGAACAGAGGAGTGTGTGCGGTGGGATTACTTGGAGAGAGACATGGTGTCGCTGTGGTACTGGGGTGCCGGTGTTCCTTCCCAATCTACTCCTTTTGCTCTGGGGTTGGAGTAGGTGTGGAATGGAGGAGTGTCGGAGGTGGGCTTAGTTGGAGGAACACATGGGGTGGGACTGGTACTGGATTACAGGTGACCCACAGGCTGCTTTCTCAAGCTTTATCGTTGGTCATGGGTGGGGGGAGCTGTGTCATGGAGGAGTGTCTGAGGTGAGCCTAGTTGGAGGAACACAGGTGTTCAGAGTGGTACTGGGGTGCGGGTGACCCACAGGCTGCTTTCACAGGATTTTCCTTTGGCCATGGGGTGGGTGTATGTGTGGAATGTACCAGTGGGTGAGGTGGGCCCATTTTTAGAAACAGGGGTGCTGGGCCTGACACTTGGATGCCAGTGACCCACAGCCTGCTTTCCCAAGCTTTCCTTTGGTCTTGGGGTGGGGCAGGTGTGGAATGGAGGATCGCTTGTGGTGGCCCTAGTTGGAGGAAAATAGTGGGTGGGACTGTTACTGGTGTGTGTAACCCACAGAGGACTGTCTGAGGTGGGCTTAGTTGGAGGAACACAGTGGGTAGCACTGGTTCCTGGTGTGCAGGTGACCAAAAGGCTGCTTACCAAAGCTTTTCCTATGGCCATTTTGTGGGGGTAGGTGTGCAATTGGGGAGCTTCTGAGTTGGGCCTCGTCAGAGGAACATAGGATGTGCGACTTTTACTGGGGTGCTTTGTACCCACAGACTGCTTCCCAAGCTCTTCCTTTGGCAATGGATTTTGGTTATGTTTGTAATGGATGAGTGTCTGAGGAGGGCCTAATTAATTGGAGGAACACAGGGGGTGAGACTGGTACTGGGGTGAGTGTAACCACAGCCTACTCTCCCAAGCTTTTCCTTTGGCAATTAGGTGGGGGTAAGTGTGGAATAGAGGAGTGTGTGAGGTGGCATTAGTTGGAGGGAGACAGGGGGTGGGACTGGTACTGGGGTGCTAGTGATCCACCGGCTGGTTTTCCAAGCTACTCCTTTTGCCATGGGTTTGGGGTACGTGACGAATGGAGGTGTGTCTGAGGTGACCTTTGTTGGAGGAACACAGGGGGTTGGACTGGTACGGGAGTGCAGGTGAACCACAGGCTGCTCTCCTAAGCTTTTCCTTTGGCCATGTTGTGGGGATATGTGTGTGATGGAGGAGTGTCTGAGGTGGGCCTAATTGGAGGAACACAGGGGTTAGGACTGGTACTGGGGTGTTGCGAACCACACGCTGCTTTCCCAATCTTTTCTTTTGTAAATGGGGTGGGAATAGGTGTATAGTGGGAAATTACCAATACGGAGCCATGCAGAAATATACGGGTATTTAATAGTGAATAGGCCTTACTTACAGAGCGACCTAGCCTGCCGGCACTGTAGCAGTCTGTAGAGCAAGCCGAAAAGGAAAACCAAAAGTGACCAGCCACTGAAACTCTGCCTCGACGTCATCCTGACTACGCCCTCCCAGGCGTGGTCAAACACACCTATAGCCATCCCCTCCTAGGCGTGGCTACAGCATCCCCTACATAGGTGTGGTATGGAGGAGTGTCTCAGGTGGCCCATAGTTGGAGGAACACAGTTGGTGGGATAGATACTGGGGTCCAAGTAACCCAAAGGCTACTTTCCCAAGTTTTTCCTTTGGCCATGGGGTTGGGGTAGGTGTGGAATGGAGGAGTGTCTGAGGAGGGCTTAGTTGGAGGAACAATGAGTTTTGGGACTGCTACTGGGGTGCCAGTGAACCACAGGCTGCTTTCCCAAGCTTTTCCATTTGCCACGGGGTTGGGGTAGGTGTGGAATAGAGGAGTGTCTTAGGTGGGCTTAGTTGGAGGAACTTAGAGGTTTGGACAGGTACTGGGGTGCAGGTGACCCACAGGCTGCTTTCACAGGTGTTTCCTTTGGCCATGGGATGGGGGTAGGTGTGGAATGGAGGAGGGTCTGAAGTGGATTTAGTTGGAGGAATACAGGGGTTGGCATTGGTACTGAGGTGCTTGTGACTGACAGGCTGCTTTTCCAAGCCACTCCTTTGGTCTTGGGGTTCGGGTATATGTGGAATGGAGGAGTATCTGAGGTTGGCCTGATTGGAGGAGCACAGGGGTAGGGACTGGTACTGGGGTGGGGGTGTCCCACGCTGCTTTCCCAAGCTTTTCCTTTGGTCTTGGAGTGCGGGTAGGTGTGGAATGGAGGATTGAAGAGATTGATCCGCAGTCCGTAAGGCTAAGGTTTCTTTATTAGATAAATACCAGCCAAGCTCAAGCCAAAGTGTGCCATGGGCATCAAGCCAGCCAGGCCATAGAGAAAGGAGAAGGGGCTCTCCACGTGTCTGCCATCCCTTAAGAATCCTCCCTGTGTCATCTTTAGACCTCCCCTGACCTCGCCCTTATGGGCATGTCCCGGCACACCTGCCTGGGCTACTACGAGGCGGGGCTACAATGTCTCCCTCCAATTCTACTTTTAGTCTAAAAGAGGATTAAAACTTAATAATGTAAAACATCCAAAATTAACAACCATAAAGGTAAAATATAAGAAGATATAATAATCTGCTATTACACATCCTAACTCACCTGTCCAGGCTACTAGGAGGCAGGGCTACAGTATCTCCCTACAGTGGATTGTTTGCGGTGGGCCTAGTTGGAGGAACAGAGTGGGTGGGACTGGTACAGGGGTGCGGGTGACCCATAGTCTGCTTTCTCAAGCTTTTCCTTTGGCCATGGGGTGGGGTAGTTGTGTAATGGAGGAGTGCCTGAGGTGGGCTTAGTTGGAGGAACACAGGGATGGGACTGGTACTGGGATGCTTGTGACTGACAGGCTGCTTTCCTAAGCTGTTCTTTTGGTCGTGCGGTGGGGGTATGTGTGGAATGGAGGAGTGTCTGAGGTCAGCCTGTTTGGAGGAACTGAGGGGGACAGGCTCGTACTGGGGTCCTCGTGATGCACCGCCTGCTTTCCCAAGCTTTTCTTTTGGCCATGGTGGGGGGTACCTGGTGAATGCAGGAGTCTCTGAACTCACCCTATTTGGAGGAACACAGGGTGTGGTACTGGTACGGAGTTGCAGGTGACTCACAATGTACTTTCCCAGGCTTTTCCTTTGTCCATGGGATGGGAGTAGGTGTGGAATGTAGGAGTGGCTGAGGTGGGCCTATTTTCAGGAACAGAAGAAGTGCTGGGACTGGCACTTGGATGCCAGTGACCCACAGCCAGCTTTCCCAAGCTTTTCCTTTGGTGTTGGGGTGGGGGTAGGTGTGGAATGGATGATCGTTTGTGGTGGGCCTAGTTGGAGGAACATAGGGGGTGGCACTGGTACTAGGGTGCTTGTGACACACAGGCTACTCACCCAAGCTTTTCCTTTGGTTTTGGGATGGGGGTAAGTGTGGAATAGGGGAGGGTCTGAGGTGGGCTTAGTTGGCAGAATACAGGGAGTGGGAGTGGTACCGGTGTGTGGCTGACCCACAGGCTGCTTTTCCATTCTTTTCCATTGGCCATGGGCTGGGGGTATGTGTGTGTAACGGAGGAGTGTCTTAGGTGGGCCTAGTTGTTGGGACACAGGGGGTGCGAATATTCTTGGGGTGCTGTGACCCACAGGCTGCTTTCCCAAGCTTTTCCTTTGTCCATGGGGTGGGTGTACGTGTGGAGTGGAGGAGTGTCTGAGGTGGGCTTAGTTAGAGGAACACAGGGGTGGGTACTGGTGTGTGGGTGACCCACAGGCTGCCTTCCCAAGCCTTTGCTTTGGCCATTGGGTGGGGGTAGGTGTGGAATGGAGGAGTGTCTGAGGTGGGCCTAGTTGGATGAACTAGGGATTTGGACTTGTACTGGGGTCTGGGTGACCCACCGGCTGCTTTCCCAACCTTTTC